ATAATAGACATCACCATTATATTAAAATTTTCATAAATAATAATAGGACTTATCGTAGTCTCTTTATTTTCAATCAAAACAACCATTATTGTTATCATAATTAAAAAAATGTCATTGACATTTCACTCTAAATAATATTTTTATAAATTTTTTTTTAAAAATATTTTCTTTATGTTTATATAAAAAAAAAAATTTCCAAAACCCAGGGCACGTGACCCCCTAGACCCTCTTTGCCTCCGTCATTGCATATAATGATTTTATATGATATATATATATATATTAAATCATAAGATTATAAAATAAACATTCTTAATTAAATTAAAATATCAATTATATAAAACAAATTCAATAACGATTAACTAACAAAGAATCACATAACAATATCTAAATTTAAAAAGAAAAAATGATGAAGACATACAAACGATAGACACATCTTAGTGTGTGAAAGTAATTAACCATCTATAACATGATGTAAAAATATAAAAGAACTTACTATTCAATAATTGAAAAAGTAACTCAAGCAGTAAATCTAAACTTTAGAAGTTCTTTGAGAGTATCATTGTTGTGCAAGTTTTTCCTCATGTGTGTTGTGATTATATAAAATAATGTAGAAAATGAAGTATAATTTCATGTGTAGAATCACCATAAAAATTAAATAACAAATCTGTAACGCCCCCAAAATATGATACAAGTAAACCATTCATAAGATCTATGAACATAATGGAGATGTTATACTTTCATTCATCAGAGTTTATATTACAAGAGATATTACATGCATTACACTTTTATAGATGTTCATTCTGAAGCTACAACATATAACACTAGTTGATAACAATAAAATAATTGCCCTACGGGCTTGCATCTTTCTAAGATATCACTTGGTTACAACAAAAAGAGTCCTAAGCTCTATTCATATAAAACCCTTGGCCTGAATAAACATTTAACACAAAAATAATAAAACGGAGCCTCCAGCTCCTAAGTCCTCCCAAGTTACCTCCTTGGAGGAGGCATGCCATCTGTACCTGAAAATGGTTTCCCAAGTAGGGTGAGTCAAAGCCCAGTAAAAATATGCTAATATAATATATGAAGTTTAACTAAGACATGAGTGCCAGATAAATGTTCAATACACATAACCAACTTGTATCCTTTTCATGACCATTCAATATTAGTATCCACACCTCAATTCATTTCTATTCACCTTAGATCAGTTCATGAGTCTAGTTCATTATTGTCTAAACAACCCAAATGAGATTATAACTTATCGGTTCACAATTCAATAACAATCATAATTCAACACGTCAACATTGTCATTTTACGGAACTCTTATTCGAGGAAATCAGCACTCATATATCTATACAAGATTTAGGAACTTTCATCCTGGACACTCCGGCCAACTTAATTTTAAATGGAGTCCATCTTCTATCTCCTCTCAAACAGTGGAGTACATCTCCTTTCTCCTCCCAAACAATTATACATATACAATGTATTAAAATATCGTCATGTACAATGACTATCCACAACACATACTCAATGTTTCAATCATACCGTCATATTCAATGACATAATTTAAATAATTAGTTTCAATTCGTCTAATCTTCATGCAATTTCTACAACAATCATAGTTATCCTCCACAGATAGCCCAAAATAGATATTTCTAAACAGATATACAATCTTTATAACAGATAATTTATCAAATTTCTATAGATGGGTGATTTAACAAATCCAACTACACCATTCATTCATACATCCTCCCAATTTCATATTTCTCATATCAATTTCATTATTTATACAAAGTAATTATTTTACACAAATTAGAGCAAATTTCTTCCTTTTTCCAAATATCAATCCTAAGGCTAAATTTCGCCATGTTAACCCAAGTTAACCTCATATTCAAACCCCACATTCATCCATAGAGCCTAACATAGAAATCCCTCTTTTAAGTTTTGATTCAAAACCCTAACTTTACCCAAATCTCCCAAATTCCACCATTTATACCAAAACAACAAATGCCTAGGTTAAAAACCATATTAAGGTGCAAAGTATCTCTACCTCAAGTGTAGAAGCTCAGAGAAGATGAAGAAGAACCTCAAAAGTGCCTAAACTTGACTTTGCTCGGATCAAAAGGAAGCCCACAAGATGCTCTAACTCTTTATCAAAGGAACTAGGGTAGAGAGCTGCTTAGATCAAAGGGTATTCGTAGAGAGAAAGTGTTTTAGAGAGAGAGAGAGAGTACCGGATTAGGGTTTTTTTTGCAAAAAGAAAATCAAAAAGTGATATAAAACTCCTCTACTGTGAACGGATATACGCGAGGCTCGCTCAAGCGAAGGAGTTGTCGGTCGAGCGCAAAAAGCATCGCTCAAGCGCAGAATACATAGCTTTAGAAGTTTTACAGACATACACCCTCGCTCGAGCGCAAAAAGCCTCGCGCGAGCAAAGAACTCAACCTTCCTAGAAATTCTGCGTCTGGGTAAAATACTGAGAGCACTCAAAACTCACTTGAGCGCAAGAAGCCTCGCTTGAGCGAAGAAGCAAATTTCACAAGGCTCGCTCGAGCGCAAGAAGTCTCGCTCGAGCGAAGAAGCCAAAATTTGGGCAATATCAATCTAGACCAACTAATAACCAACATGTTCCAAACACGCCCAACACATTCAAAAACTCCAATTCAAAGAGTAAAAGGAGGAAAAACAAGACATGGATACAATATTAAATCACGAAACCCGAGTCCAGAATGTAACAAAGGTCGGGTCAATACCGGGATCACTATAACCCATAATACAGAATAATATAGAATTAATATTAGACATAGAATAATGTAAGGAAAAATTTTTAAAAAGGGGGGGGGAATTTAGCATTAAAAAAAAAATCTTAAATTGGATTTGTGGATTATCTCAACTTTCCATGAAAAATATAGGGAAAAGAAATATTTGTCAAATAGAATTTCTATAAAATATGTAAAATTAGTTTAATTTAAATTAGGTTTGGGTTTGTGTAGAACTCTATATGTAAATATAATTAAAAAATACATACTAATGTGACTCTTTTAGAAAAAATTAAACCCTTATAATGTGCCATACAAGTATAAAAAAATATTACTTTTAATAATATATATATATATATATATATATGTGATGAGAATGCTACTTATATAAATTTTTTAAAAAAAATATTTAAAGCATTTAATGCATAAATCAAATTCATTTGGGATGTGTATTTTACAATGTACAAAAGTTTAATTTCAGCCATTGGGTCCGTTCGGCAACATCATATTTTAGTTTAAAAATTAAAAAATTATTAAAAAAAATTCAAAAATCCAACAAACTATATAAAAAAAATCAAATATTTCATTTTCTCTCTAGTTTTTGGATAATTTTTTAGTAATTCCAGAATATAGACACGTGGTATTCTATAGAATTGTGATTGGTGGAGAAGGTAGGTAGGTGAGGTATTTGTGTTGGGGCAATTATTTAGTAATCTCGGAGTATGGATACGTGGTATTCCATAGTATTATGATTGGTGGAAAATGTGGGCAAGTGGGGTATTTTGTTGAGTGATTGGAAAATATGAGAGTGTATTGAATGATAATTGATTAGAGAGTACAAACGCGTGGTACTCCAGGAATATTTAATAATTTCCCATTGTGTTGGGTGATTAGGGAGCATGTGGGGGCATATTGAATGATAATTGGTTAAGGAGTACAGACATGTGGCATTCCGGGAACATTCTATAATTTTTCCTATTTTTTGCACACATTTTCGTAAAAAATCAAAAGTTATTCCAAAAATATATATTTTTTTTACCTCATATTTTTGCTAAAAAATTAAAAAATTACTAAAATGGCCTGTTCACAAATGAGACTAATTATGTGCATAAATTTTATTGAAATGAGATTTATCCTTATATTTGTGGTTTGGTTAGGTTAAACTTCTCTCAAGTTTAAATGTCAACTTGACTGTTATTTTTAGGTTGGCGGGACTTGCCTTGAATTCTTTTTCCATAATCAGATTTATTTATTTGTAAAAAACTTTGTGTATATTATTTATAAAAAAAATTTAAATCAATTTGATAAACTATAGTCTTTTCATTTTATTCATTTTTCTCTCAAAAAATAAATAGTCTATTTTTAAAAATATACTTGTCGTTTATTTTTTTAAAGACAAACGCGATAAAATAAAGATATTACGATTATCGAATTGGTGTAATTTTTTCCACGGATAATATATTCGTAGAGTCCTACAAAATGAAATGTTTGAATTATCGAAACGAGACCTGAAATGGATTCTATCAACCCAACACATGACAATCAAATTCATATTTGGATTTTAAAGAACTTGAAGGAGAATGGTATGATGGTATGCACTTTATGCAAAAAGCTTAATTTTTTTCACAAAAAAATATAACTCTTTTTCTTCACAAAAGAATATAACTTTTTGTTTCTTACAAAATATATAACTTCTTTTACAAAAAGTATAATTTTAGTTATACATAACTTTTAGTTACATATCATAACTTCAAAATTTATAAATTTTATCACAAAAATTGTAATTTTCATCTCACAAAATATATAATTTATACATAACTTTTCTTACAATATATAAGTGCACATTGTAACCTCTCCCAAGTTGAATCCTAAATTTATTGCTCTAAATTAATATTTGATCCAAGTTATTTCCTATGATTGGTCTTTTGTAATTCTTTGAATTCACCAAAATGGCAACATGAAACGACACAACAAGAGACAATAGCCTCCAAAAACAATTGAATTATCACAAGAAGAAAACTCTAGGTTTTCACATCAACAAACTTTAGATTCAACCCCACTCTCCATATATCGAATTCTTAGGCGATTCCCACAAACAAGCCAAACCTTGTTTTCTCCGCAACACGACCTTAAATCTGACATTCCTATCTATATTTACACTTCCATTTGACCCATCACATATACGTACCCTATTCTACATTAAAACCACCACCAAACCCACCACTCCCCACTACCACTTCAATGGGTTCTCTCCCTTCGCCTCCACCATCCACGCCGCCACGGTCACCAGAAACTTCCCTCTCCCACAACCGTGTTTATGCCCTGTTTTGCTTTAAAGAGCCGGGGCCTAATTCAAACATCTCCAATTGGTTAGATTGCTACAATCCGGTTGACAATACGTGGACTCATGTTACCCCAATTCCGGGACTAATTGAGAACCATTTGTTGAAGGATTTTGCCATGATCTCTATTGGAGAATCAATCTACATAATTGGCGGCCGCCTCTGCCGCAAGGACCGTGCTCCCGCCACCACCGAATCCGATGAATTTTTTGAAGTCAACCAAGAAGTACTCTCGTCGGTGTTACGTTACGATGTCAACACCGATCAATGGTCCAAATGTGCACCACTTAATACACCTAGGTATGACTTTGCGTGTACAGTGTGTAACGATAAGGTCTACGTGGCAGGGGGACAAACCACGCTGGCAAGTGCCAGGAATCAATCTACATAATCGGCGGCCGCCTCTGCCGCAAGGACCGTGCTCCCGCCACCAACGAATCCGATGAATTTTTTGAAGTTAACCAAGAAGTACTCTCGTCGGTGTTACGTTACGATGTCAACACCGATCAATGGTCCAAATGTGCACCACTTAATACACCTAGGTATGACTTTGCGTGTACAGTGTGTAACGATAAGGTCTACGTGGCAGGGGGACAAACCACGCTGGCAAGTGCCAGGGGTGTGTCATCTGCTGAGGTGTACGACCCCTCACTCAATGAATGGACTCCATTGCCAAATATGAATACCTTGAGGTATAAGTGTGTGGGCGTGACGTGGCAGGGGAAAATCCACATGATTGGTGGATTCGTGGAGAGTGGTAACTTTGTCGGGGGGTATGTAGACCGAAGCTCTGCTGAGGTGTACGATGAGGAAAGGGGAAAGTGGGACCTCGTGCCGGGGATGTGGCAACTGGATGTGCCACCTAATCAAATAGTGGCAGTGAATGGGACACTATTAAGCTCAGGGGATTGCCTAAATGCATGGAAAGGTCATATTGAGGCCTATGATGGGAAGCTTAATATATGGTACATGGTTGAAGGGTCACAATTACAAATTCCTTCATCACCTACATCGACATCGTACGGTGGTGAAGAGAGGTGGCCTAAGATCCAACGGCGATACCTCACGATGGCAACGATTGGAACCCACTTGTGCCTCTTGGCAGGTTATCGGAATATTGAGGAATCATCACTATCGAAATCAAGGGTACACGTATTGGACACGTCAGCAACTGGAGGGACATGGAGGTGCTTGGAGCCCACTGAAGAGGAGGGAGAGAAGGAGCTGTGTAGTCACTGTTGTGTTGTTCAATTTCCTTGAGAATTTGAATGGAAAAAAAAAAAATAATGTTGGTATTTGCTTGACATAATTTAATCGTACTGTATAATTAAGGTTTTGATAATTATATAAATATATTTATATCTATTATAATACTAGGGATAACCCATGCCAGAAGGCACTGTGAATAATTTTTGTTTGATACACACGTGCTACGAAATTCAATTATAATAAATCAATTTAAAATGATAATATTACTTCAATTTAAAACTTCACATAAAACAGGAACAAAAGATATAAAGAAAACTGAAATAAATAACTAATAAATTTCAAATTTTTTATTTCCTAATGAATTTATCCTGAATGTAGGCTTCCCATCTCATTCACATAACTAGGGTTGTACCTTCAAGAGTTTCCACCTTATTCTGTAACATATTTTCAAAATCAGCCCTATTTAAGAAATAGTTCAAATCAGTCTAATAAAACATCAAATATCAATAGGAATAGATCAAATTCTCCAAACTTTTTCACAGTTTCAACTAATTACTTATAAATAAATGAAATAAAACTAATCCAAGTTACTTTGAAAGCTAACCTTATTGTTAATACCAGAATATCACGGATGATATAACAAACCCAAGCTAATTTTACAACCAACTGTGTTGGAAAGTCAGAGATCCTGAAAAGAAAAATGAATTCAGAAACAAACCATAAAAATAGTGTATCTAAATACATTGGTCTTTCTTAATCAAGAAACATAAAATTCATAACCATGATAGGGGGAGGGGGAACTAAAGTCAAGTATTTAAAAATTAAGAGGCAACAATACTATAACATTCTCTTTCAACCCACTAATAAATTATTTCTGCACAATAGACACTAAATTTACACAAAAATTCAAGTCAAGCATACGTGACTTCCACCAAAATTTACAAAGATACTAAATTAAATTGGTCACTTAAATTTAGTGAATTTTCAAGGGCACTTTATTATCCACACTCAATAACCATCCATAAGGTTCAATCTTTTCCACTGATAAGAGACTTTACAAAAATATTAGAAATTCATTGAAATACATATCAGTAGGAAGCTTTACAAAAATGGTTAACATCAAGGATATACTTTACAAAATATTTGTCAACTTTACAAAATATATGCCATATAATGTCTTCAAACTTGTTCCTTTACAAAAAGTATTTGGATGCCTCTAAAGCGCTTGGACACCTTCAAACTTGTTCTCCATCACATTCTAAAATGTTCATGTATCAACCTCTGTGTACTTTTTCCAGTGAGGAGCATGCGCAACAATCTAATATTTAAAAAACAATAACATTACCATATTGAAACAATACGAAAAATAAATATTGAAACAATATGGACCAAGGATACCTTATTACAATTTCACCGGAGCAATATAGTCTTATTTATCCTCTTGAGCTCCATAGCTTTTTCAACCCAATCTTACAAAAGTTTGACTTGATCATAATTTAAACACAATTTTAATTAAAATACACTTTCAATTTATTTCCTTCTTTCATCATTTGTGTTCTTTTTTAAACTTTAGTTACTTTCCTCTTCCATTTGGAAAATTTTATATATCTTTGTAAAAGATCCTTTATAATTTTTTAAGGATGCATAATTTAGTTTGAAAATCAATAATATTAAAAGGATTAAAAGCACCATGCCCAACTTCACAAACTTTACAATAAAAAAGAAAACTACACAGAGATTATACATGCTTCACAATATCACATTCCCCCCATGATTTTCTTTACACATGTTCCAGAACAAACTTGAAAAGAACCATACTACTTGTGTATTTTTAATTTCCTTTCATGAATAGTTTTCCTTTCATTTTCCTATAAGCTTCTCTTTTTCCTTTGTCTTTACCTTTGCTTTTGCCTTTAAAAAAATAAGCAAAAATTATTAAGAAAAAAAATATGATTAGCAAATAAATTTGATTAGTGGGTTCACCCCACGAACACAGAGGACATTGAAGTCCCGTTCATTACGAATCACAATACTGACATTTCTGTTTTGCAGAAACTGAACCTGTGTATTTATAAAAATGCAATTGAAAGGTCAAAGAAAAATTATATTAAGGAATGTAGATTCAATAAAAAATGAGTATAGAGATCTAGTATTACTGTTTCCTCTAACATATCATCCACCTGTAAAAAATCATACAAAAGCGTTTGATTATGAGAAAAATTATAAATAATAAGTAAGAAATTAAGCCTTGATTAATAAACTATAAAGTAAACATACATAACCAACAATATGAATGTTGTCCATGATATGAATTAAAAAGAATTCTAAGATTGTTGAAGAGGTTGAAACACCAGATACCTGTAGTGAAGAAATAACTTGTTTAGTAGTGTTATAAATAGATTGGGTTTAAACACCAATGAGCTATACAATGAGGTATTTTTTCTCTCACTACAATTCTAATTTTTAACAATCGAATAAAAACAAAAGATCACAGAACATAACTTTGCATGTTAAAAAAAGAAATCCAATTCACACATTATCAAAATAATCCAAATCTTTTATCAGAACACTAATCATATTTGAAACACTTCAATCTCATTGATACTTTATTTGGTTCATTAGAATGAGATAAATGATGATTTCCAATGCAATGAATTTTTCATTATTCTTTTAGTTAACCAAATATGAGAAGTGAAATGAATCTTTGCACTTTATTACAGTGAACCAAAGACTACCTTAGAGTTTCATGTGATATTTTATTCCAGAAGATTAAAACATAGGGAAAAGGAAAACAGGGGAAAAAGCTCACAAATAAATAGTATGGAAGTAAACAACCATTTCCATTCCTCTAATCAATCATCAATTTGAAGACATTGCAAGTCCAAATTGTAAGCTAATCTATATATGCAACATTTCCTTCAATCTAGTGATGTTGTACATACAGTTGGTTGTTGGATGAGTTTTAGTCCAAAGTCTGCCCCTTTTGGCACTAATTTTTTTGGTCAGACACATCTTCTAAAAGAGAGGTTACATTGCAAGAAGAAAACGTTACATATGAAAAGACTATATCCAATTGCAAGAATAAAATATAGAAGATGTAGAAAGAAGCAAATATATTTGGGATTAAGTTCCAAGTTAGAGTTAAAGACCTAAAATTTATTTTGAAGTTTTTTTTTTTTTTTTTTCAAGTAAGAAATGTACTTTGGATTGTAATTAACTCTATTATCGAGACATTGCTTGAATATAAGTTATCTAAATTAGCAGTTAACTGAACTCTACAAAGAGTTAAACCCACCCAAGCGTGGCTAAACAACCAACAAAGTCAAACTCAAAACAACTAACAAATAATTTTATCAAATCAACCTCAACCACCCCAACCTCATAATTCCAGAAGTTATGAAATTTTTCTCTATTTTTTTCCAATAATCAAACACCCATAAAAGTCACACAAAAAAAAAATGTAATGATAAGAAAAATCCAAAAAACTAGCAAATTTGATTATTCAAGCCTATAAACAACAATTCCTATTTAGCAAAGTTGAGAGCTCTATCCGCTAAACAACAATTTCCAGCAACACATAAAACATATGTTAAAAAACTTAAATCCTATCCCATATCCCAAAAATGTCTGATTTCCTGAGATGAGAAACCAACAAAGAAAAACAATCCATTTCCATTATTCATTCATAATCAATAAGGATTCAAGATACAACTATAACCTGCTCAATCCATTTCAAAAGCATAACAACAAACTAAGCATCACTATAACAATGTAATAAATATATTTAGAAAAAAAAAAAAGAGTCGAATGTAACAATCAATCTTCAAAACAAACTAAAATAGATATGTAACGAAATGAAATGAAATGATGGGTGTTGAAGGTTTCAATACTATTTAAAAAACTATATTACCAAATAAATTTTCAAGTTTTGTAAACTATTTTCAAAAAATTATTTTCCAAAATTGTTTCACAAATATAAACCAAACATAGCCGGTATATTTACATCAAAATGTGAAACTAATTATACTTTGGGCAAATTACATTAATGGTCCCTGTAGTTTGGAATTTGTGTCAGTTTAGTAGATGATATTTCAATTGTGATATATTTGACTTTGAAATTTGAATCTCGTTTTAAACAAGGACAATTGAAGATTGTTGCTCCATTTTAAGGGCAAAGTTGTTAATTTGATCAAATATAAAGTAGTTTGACAAAAATAAATGTTAAAAAATTATTTTTAAATTTAAAAAAATTATTTCTGTCACGACCTGCTCCCCGTACCCAAGGGTTAAGTATCGTGATGGCTAGTAATTGAAGTTACCTCCAGTCAATTCTTGAACAAATTAATAAACGCAAGCGGAAATAATATTTAAGTGAGGGTACCAAAATAATCATTGGAGCTTCTATTTTTTTATTACAAAATTTATTAACCAAAAACCGATATTTACATATAAAAATATCATAAAAGTGTTATGTGTGTCTATTCGCAGCCCCACGTCTAAGACTTTCCAAAAGCTATTTCTGAATTACATTGTTTCCTGAAAATTGGTAAACAGCTATAAGCACATGGCAGAGTGAGAAGCATTATGCCAAGAGTATAATGGACACAAAAAACCATGGATAGTTATGTAACTAAAATATTTAAAATAACTTAATCTGAACAAATAATCATTTAAGTAGCAAAATTGAGATTATGTAAATAATAATCATAACCACGGTACCGAACAGAATAGAACAAAGGTCACAAGAGTGATAGTCAGAACAGAGACATGGATTCAAGAGGTGGCTCGTACGGATTATAGAGGTGGCTCCCACAATGGTGTAGCACTTATCTCCGCATAGCACTTTAATCCGCACAGAACAGAGGTCAATAGATCCATGACAATACAGGGCCACAAAGTGACCAAATAGAAACCGATGGTTATTTAAGTCCCCCAAAGCGCGGGACTCACGTGATGATATTTACAAAACATAATTGGTTATAAGGTTATAGTCAAATATTCTTTAAAAGTTAAACAAACATATCCATGGGTTTCATTTTAAACAAATAGAGTTCAGAAATTAATCCACGTAACTGAAATATTTATAAAACATAACTTGTATTAATATAATTAATAAAATACAACTATATAAAATAAATTATGATAAGTCAA